TTCAGATTATTACATTGGTTCCTCTTTTTTCCCACCATAACTCCCCTCCACCCAGTTTCCCCCCCACCCTCCGCCCTCACTCCCCACCCAGTGTCCCGATCCATAGGTGCACGATTATTGTCTAATCTCTTCCCGCACCCCCCACACCCCTTCCCCACCTCCAAGAATAGTCAGTCCATTCCCTTTCTATGTCCCTGATTCTATTTTAATCACCAGTTCATACTGTTCATCAGATTATTTATTCACTTGATTTTTAGATTCACTTGTTGATAGATGTGTATTTGTTGTTCATAATTTGTATCTTTACCTTTTTCTTCTTCTTCCTCTTCTTAAAGGATACCTTTCAGCATTTCATATAATACTGGTTTGGTGGTGATGAACTCCTTTAGCTTTTCCTTATCTGTGAAGCTCTTTATCTGACCTTCAATTCTGAATGATAGCTTTGCTGGATAAAGTAATCTTGGTTGTAGGTTCTTGCTATTCATCACTTTGAATATTTCTTGCCACTCCCTTCTGGCCTGCAAAGTTTCTGTTGAGAAATCAGCTGACAGTCGTATGGGTACTCCCTTATAGGTAACTGACTTTTTTTCTCTTGCTGCTTTTAAGATTCTCTCTTTGTCTTTTGCTCTTGGCATTTTAATTATGATGTGTCTTGGTGTGGTCCTTTCTTGAACATTAACTTACCAGACACTGAATAACTGCACAAATTAATAAGCGCAACACAAATAGACCTATTTTTCTTGTTCTCCGAAAGCGAAATATTTCCTGTTGGAGACACCGAACAAGTCAGTCCAAGACTAATGACCTGGCAATTGGCTGCTGAAATATTCCCCACTAGTATTAGTGGAGAGAAATAAAGCACATAAGGGAAATGAACGCAACACGATTATAGTAATCAGTCATTAGCGAACATTGTAGTTCATTATTAATAATTGCCCTAACCGATTTGGCTCAGTGGATAGAGTGTCGGCCTGTGGACTCAAGGGTCCCAGTTCGATTCCGGTCAGGGGCATGTGCCTTGGTTGTGGGGACTTCCCCAGTTGGGGAGTGTGCAGGAGGCAACTGATCGATGTTTCTCTCTCATTGATGTTTCTAACTCTCTATCCCTCTCCCTTCTTCTATGTAAAAAAATCAATAAAATATATTTAAAAAATAATTATGTATAACAGGATATTAAGTTACAAAATTTTTATTAAAACGTTTCTTACATACCGTTCTATTAACTGGGCCTCAAAAATAGTCATTGTGGGTTACATGTGGCCCATGGGCCACAAGTTTGACATGCTTGCTCTAAAGTGTCACACTATCTTTGGGCTCTTATCGCAAAGACCCCCACATTCTCACCCTATTTCTGCGAGAAAGAGTATGTCCTTTGTGAACCATGCTATTCAGTATTAAATAAAGTAGGTTAAGTCTGGGGCCTTTTGTGAATAGTGTTTAACATTCTTGAACTGAGGATCGGGCCGTCTTGGCCTGCCTCTCTGATGGCAAGTTAAACATCAAGGCTGTAATAATAGACTCTGCATGTCTTAATGGAGAATAAAAAGCTGGGCATTTTGCACGTGCACAGGAAATTCCTTAAAAAATAACCAAATATTCGGAGTTTATTTTTTATTCCTAAAATAAAAAGTTGATGTATCTTCAAAAGTTCCTCTGCAGAGCTCTTCATAAACAGTGTACTTTTCAGATGTCTGTAATGTTAATGTCTGCTCAACCCGCATGTGTAAGACACAAGACCCCGTATCCACCCACACAACATCAAGCCACCACCTTTCCGCTGATCACTGCAGGAGCCTCTACACGGGCCTCCCTGCTTTCACCCCTGCCCGTTCCGCCCCTCCACCCCCCACCTGCTACCGGCCTTTTCTTCACCTAGTAACTCAGAATGAGCCTTTGAAAATGAATGTCAAAACAGTTTACTCCTTTCCGGCTTTCTTTTTCTCTCTAGGTGTTTTCATTTTTTCCAGCAAATGTTTGCAGAGCCCGTGTGCTGTGCCAGGAGCTGTTCCAGGTGCTGGGAATATGTCAGTGGCTAAGACAAAGCTTCCAGCCCTTGCATAGCTAGCAGAGGAGACAGAGAATAATATAGTAAAATAATAAATAAGGAGAAAGGAGTAAAGACTAGAAGAAAAATAAAGCAAGGGAAGGGGAATCCAAGTGCAAAAGTTGGGGGGAGGGGAGGGGAAGAGACTTTACCACTTTAAAATAAGGTCATCATGTCAGACCACATCGTGAAAGTGTCATGTGAACTCAAAATCCTGCGATCGTTTTCCATCTCACCCAGAGGAAAAGTCAAAGGCCTTACAACTGCCTGTTGGGTTATAAGATCTAGATCTTGCCCAGCTTCCCTGTCCTCCTCACCTATGGCTGTTCCCCTAGATTGCTGGTCCTCAAACTTCACTGGGCATCACATGGGGGCCTTGTTCAACCAAAGATTGCTAACACTGTGACATCCAAATAAAGTTTGCAGTTTAGTTAGTAAGTAGTGTTGTACCAATGTTCATCTTGGTTAAAAAAAAAAAGTCCCATGATTATGTAAGATGTTAACATTAGGGGAAGCTGGGTATAAGGGAAATCTCTGTACTATCTTTATATACCTCTGTAGATCTTAAATTATTTCAAATAAAACGTTAACACACAACACACACACACACACACACACACACACACACACATACACACACACACACACAGCCAGGCTCCACCCCAGAGTGTCCATTTCTGCACGTATGGAATGGGCACTGAGAATTTGCATTTTTCTAACCAGCTCCAAGGACAGAACTTGGAGAAGCGCTGCTCTAGGTTGCTCAGCACCAGCCACGGTGACCTCCTGGGTTCACCCCAGGGCATCTGCACTGCCTTTCTTTCTGCCTGGACGGCAGCTCCCTTAAGAACAGAGTGTGCAAGGTCCACTCCTCACCTCCCCAGGTCTCCTTCAACAGGGAAGTCTGTTCACTGGTTTAAAATGACTGCCCACTCCTCCCCCAGGGCTCCCTGTCCATCTTTGCTGCTTCCTTTTCTTTTCCATAGCACTCATCCCCGTGCGGCACACTATGTATTCTACTGTTTGTGTGTTTCTCTGTCTCCTGTCCCCTCAGCTCCAGAGATGTAAGGAGGGCGGCTCCTTGGTCTCATGCTCTGCCACTCATTCTTTTGGGCTTTTATAACAGCACCTGATTACAATACATGTTTTAAGACTCTATGTTTACAGATAAATGAAAGAATGAATAGATGGAAGCAGTCCATGAGGAATGGTGTAGCCGTCTGCTTAAGAGTCCAGATTCAAGAAGCCAAGACATTGGGGCTCAACCACCTACTCAGCCTTACACTCCTTATTTAACTGTAGGCACATTACTTTCCTCCACTAAAATGAAAGGGCTCTCCACTAAAATGAAAAGGTGTCCCAAAATTCACGCAAGATTTGAATTTTGCGTGAGCATTAACAACAACAACAAAAAGATAAAAGCCTAATTTTACTTGGTTTATTGAATCGGATTCTAATATCTGTTGCCCTTTGATTTCAATCCCTTCAATTTTTTAAGCATTACCAAGTACCAATTATGGCCCAGGAGCAGGGACAATGAAGACCAATGAAGACCACAGCTTTGCGTATGTGCCAGCAAAGCCGTGGAGGCCATTTACCGGATGTGCTATTCCACCATACATAATATACTGTGTACTTTATGAATCAATAAAAAATTTACAATTTTTAAATTTTTTAAACCTGTGTTTTCTATCAAAATTACTTCTTGCGTGAATTTTGGGACACCCTTTATTACCTCATAGGGAAATGTAAAAATTAAATGCAAAAATACAGATAAAGCACTTAGAACAGGTCTGGGCACAAAGTAATCGCTCAATAAATGTCAGCTAATATTATTTTTGCTCTACAAATTTGGTCTTTGTAATAATTCAAGCAAGGTCTTGGTTAAAATTCAACTTGTATAAGAAACCATTTCTTCAGAGTTGATGGAAATGGAATAAGGCTGCTATAGGCTGAATTTTGTGCCCTCCCTTGCCCCTCTAATCCATATATTGAAGCTTAATCCCCAATGTGATGGAGTTTGGAGGTGGGACCTTTAGGAGGTGCCTAGGTCATGAGGGATTAGTAGCCATATAAGGGGCTGAAGAGACGAGAGTTCTCCCCTTACACCCTGTGAGGACACAGAGAAAGAGGGCGGGCCAGCTATGAACCAGGAAGTGGGCTCTCACCAGACACCAAATCTGTCAGAGCTTTGATCTTGGACTTCCAGCCTCCAGACTGTGAGAAATAAATTTCTGTTTATAAGCCAACCAGTCTATGGTATTCTGTTATAGCAGCCTGAATGGATTAAGAAAAATGTCCTGCGTAATACTTAAGCTACTAAGAGAAATAGCCTTGTTTTCAAATAGCCTCAAGCTCTTTCAAAGTATCTGATTGGTGTTCAAATGATCTCTCTATATGTATTGCAAATCATTTTGACCTAATTTGGATATTAAAATCCCTAAGGATTTCTCCAAAGCATAACAGAAAATACCTAAATGAACTTTGTTGACCTAGCTTATCCTAAAATTTATAAAAATATATTTCTTTATTGCTATACTATAACTATATGTGTTTATATATTTATATACTTACTATTTTTTTAAAAATATATTTTATTGATTTTTTTTACAGAGAAGAAGGGAGAGGGATAGAGAGTTAGAAACATCAATGAGAGAGATCGATCAGCTGCTTCCTGCATGCCCCTCACAGGGGATGTGCCTGCAACCAAGGTACATGCCCTTGACTGGAATCGAGCCTGGGACCCTTCAGTCTGCAGGCCGACGCTCTATCCACTGAGCCAAACCGGTTCAGCTATATACTTAATATTAATACATGATATTTATTATATTAATGTCAATACTATGCTACATTAATATTATAATATAACATAATATAGTAAATATACTATACCGCTTTTAGTTAATATAAATAATTTATTTTATCTCTACATTTCTTTATTTGTATCTGTTTATAGATATTTTCTGTTCTCCTCAATTGACTACCCATGTAACTGACAGTGGCTGCCATTCACCGAATGCCCACGAAATGCCTGGGACCTAGCTTGGCCATTCCTGTGATAATAGCTAACATTTATTGAGCTTTACGGTACTTTGTCCCCTACTCTTCTGTTTGAAGCACTTTTCATGTGTTAACTCATTCAATGTTACAACAACCCAAGAAATAGGTGCTGTTATAATCCCCATGTTATAGATTAGGAAACTGAGGCACAAGATGGTAAGCAACTTGCCTGCTATCACACAGCAAGTAAGCTGACTCCTGAGTCCCAGCTAAGCTAATCTATGCTGTTCTTACTTTATTTGCATACTAGAGGCCCAGTGCATGAAATTTGTGCGGAGGGGGGGGATTCCTCAGCCCGACCTGCACCCTCTCCAATCCGGGAGCCCTCAGGGAATGTCCTACTGACGGCTTAGGCCCGCTCCCAGTGGTTCTCTGTTGTCTGCGGGGCCTGCTTGGCTGCTCCTGGGTCGCCGAGGCAAAGGCCAAGCAGGCCCTTCTCTCAGCGGCTGCCCCCCCGGGACTGGAAGACTCCAGTGGGATTGAGAGGATTGGGCGCCATCATCTTGTGGCTGTGGGTGCCACCATCTTTGTGTTGAAGTGATAGTTAATTTGCTTATTACTCTTTTATTAGATAGATTATTTAATTAAATCCTCATACAACCCTGTGACCTGAGCATTATCACCCCCATTTTATAAATGAGTAAGATAGAGTTTAACTCATTTGCTAAAATTACATTGAAAATGGCAGTGGGGATTTAAATCTGGAACTTTTTGTTTCCAAGATTTTCCAGTACATTCTCATGATGTCTATATGACATTCTTATTCCTAATCTCCCCCAGGTGGCCTTTGGAGAATCCATGTGGCTTGGCCTTGTGATGACTCACTTGGTCCCTCACTCCAGTGTTCAGACCCATGAGGTGTGGGAATCCCTGGAGCACGTTGGGATTAAAAATGAAGGGGTTCTCTTTTATTAAAAGAAATCAGTATCTTCCAATGAGGAGTTATATATTTAGACTCAGTTTGGTCTTCACTAGGAGACTTCAATGTGCACAACCCTGTTTTGCTGGTATGTGTTGGGATTAGAAAGAGAAAACAGAATTTGTCTAATGTATAGCTGTCTCTTCCAGAGAAGTTAGAATCTGGTTGAACAAATGAAAATGACATTGAGACACACGTGTGCGTTGAGCTGTGTGCTACAGATAAACTGCTATAGGAGTTGACGGTAGGGGTCTGGAGCTCCTGGACAGGCCTCTAGGGGAAGAGAACCTGAAAGGACGTGTGGAATTTGGATGAGAGCAGGAAGATTCACCAGGCATGGGCCAAAAGGCTGAAGAAGAGGCCAGTGCAGAAATGTACTTGGTAATAGGGAGAGAGGGGAACTGGCATTCCCTGAGACCCTCTCTATGTGCCAGATGCTGAGCTAGGCACTCAATATGCAGTATTTCAAGGATTCCTCAAATTAGCCCTGCAAGACGGGTGGGATCACCCCATTTTACAGATGAGGAAATAGGCTCAGAGAGGTTAAGTCATTTGTGTTTGGGCAGACAGCTCTTAAGTGTTAGTGTGGGGTTCAAGCTCAGTCTTGACTTCTGCTAGAACTCATGTTTTTTCCACACAGCTAGAATTTTATAGGATTTCTAAGCTCCTGGGAGCAACGATCTACACAAGCAGCTCAACTCCCGTGATGGTTAATTTTCTGTATCAACTTAACTGGGCCACTGGGTGCTCAGCTATTTGGTTAAATGTTATTTGGTGTGAGTCTCTGGGTAAGTTTAACATCTGAACAGGAGGACTGAGTCAGGGAGATTTCCCTCCCCGGTTTGGGTGGGCTTCATTCAATCCATTGAAGTCCTGAATGGAACAACAAGGCCGAGTAGAATTGGCTCTCTCTGCCTGACTGTCCTTGAGCTGGGAGATCAGTTTCTCCTGCCTTTGAACTTGGACTCTGGAATTTACACCATTGGCTCTTCTGGTTCCTCAGGCTTGGACTTGGACTGGAAGCACACCATCAGCTCTCCTGAGCCTTCAGCTTGTGGACTTGGTGACTGTAGATCTTGTGACTATCTATCAATCAATCTATTATCTATCTATCTATCTATCTATCTATCCATCCATCTGTCATCTATCTATCTATCTATCTATCTATCTATCTATCTATCATCTATCTATCTATCTATCTATCTATCTATCTATCTATCTATTTATCTATCATCTGTCTTCTACTTCTCCATAGAACTCAGAAGACTAATACACTCCTTCCCGATCTCATGCCAAAATATACTTCTGCTTTGATGAGGCACAGACTCTGGTCCTGGCTTCTTGGGGTCAGGGAAAGGGGCAGCTGCTGTGCCAAGGCTTTTAGCATGACAGGTCAGAGGTCCAGGCCGCAAGGGTTAACTATGATGGACAGGGCCATGGCATGGTTTGGTCTGCTGGGCCCAGCCAAAGACAGTCAGAGCCTAGAAGCAGAGGCCTGAGCCTGAGCATGTGGGTCTAGGGGCATGTGAAGTTGGTGTTGCTCAGAGAGGGAGCCGACCTCTCAGAAGCCTCTGGGGACACAGTTTGATTCCACCAACTACATGACAGGCAAGCCCTATGTTAGGGGGAGAGATACCAAAGTGAGTCAGACACACATTGTCCCTCACCAGGCTCACAATTTAGTTTGCAGGAATAGGCAAAGAGATAATTTCAGAACAATGTTATGTGTGTTATTGTGCCTTCAGCCAACCAGACTCTACATTCAACCTCCATGTGTTTGGTTTTGCCTTTGGCGTGGCCTTCGGAAGATCGCTGAGTGCTGAGTGCTGAGTGCTGAGTGCCTGCTTCAGCATGCCTGCATCTGGCTGTGTCTGTGTGATCTATGATCCATGACCCTGTAGGTTACAGAATGTCTACACAGGAAAATGGCCAGTCATCAGAGCAAGCCACGTCATGTGGCTTTATTGCTTGCTCCTGAATATTATGCATTTTTCAAATAGAGGACCACAAGCCAGATATATCTTGAGTGAAGATGCACTTCATATGTTGAAATTCTATTAGAGCAGAATGGATACTTGTTATTGCAAAATGCTATAATTATTAATGGCAGCAATAAAACCTATGAATTTTAAATATAAAAGTTATCAGATCTTTCAAATACTTAGTACAGAGACAGTGTGATGCTAATACAGATATTTTAAAGGGAGCGGCTTAGCTAGATAACTTGAAAAACAAGTTAATAGTCTTTTGGAGCCAACAAATGTTTATTAAGTTTGAATAATAATACATGACAGAATAAGAGAGATAATGGAGATTAGATTAGAATCCTAATGCTTGTAGACTTACTTCATATACTAGTATTTGTAACACTCCTTGTAAAGCCTTTAAGAATCAGATTTAATTTCTTAATATGCTTTTTAAAATTGATTATAGAGAGAGAGGAAGGGAGATGGAGAGAGACATTGATCTGTCTGCATTTTAAAGAAAACAAGGCTTATCTCAGAGGGTGAGTTAGAAGGATTCAATGAGTTAAAACTTAACTCTTACTGGCAAGCAGTAAGGTACACATTAAAAGACATTCAACTCCCTCCCTCCCTCCCTCCCTCTTCCTTTCCTCCCTCCTTCCCTCCCTCCCTTTTCCCACCTAGAGCTAGCTCCACACAGATTCTTCAATTCTTCTTGTAAGGAGTTAGAACCCCTCCAAAGGCTTTATCAAACTGAGTGGGACTTGCCCGGTGTTTCACAGCCTTGGTCACTTCTCGGTGTCCGGCTCAGCGCTGAGCACACCCTGGGAGCCAGAGCAGCACATCTGGGCTGCACTTTTGGTGACGCGAATGTGGTCCCTGAAGCTCTTTCTCAGATGTTCCTGCTCTGGGCCCCTCAGATTGACCCATAAAACCCCAGGGCTCTTCTGAATGACTAAGGCAGTGGTCAGATTTGTTTTTCCTCCTGAGCCCAGTAAATGGCTTTTCAGTGTGTCTGTCCCAGGTGGCTCAGATGTCCAAGACCACGTGGCTGTGACTGAGACTACTGAAGCCGATGGAAGCTGGCTGGTGTTCCCATTGCAAACATCGCTCTCCCCTGGGAGCCGGGCCCAGGAATGCCTGCCACCCCAGCCATGCTGGGTTCCAGCAACTTGAATCGCAATTTCTTTGGATTCCACAGTAGCAGAATCCTGCCTTGGAAGTAACACTGGACAGACTATGGATTGGAGCGAATGTGATGGGCTGGTAAGCTTTCCCAGTGCCGAAGAATATTAAGAGCCTCTCCATTTGCTAGTCTCTTCTGAATGGGTCCCAGATGGAGCCCACGGCTCTGTCCTCTGAAGCGGCAGGGCAGGCGTTACCCTCAGGATTGGGTTACACTGAGCATCTGTCTCCCCAGGGTTGTGGGTGAAATCCTTTTCAACCTGGATTCTTACTGGTTGACAAGCTGTGCACCATCATCCCTGCCGGGTAGGATGGTGGGAGAAGAGCTCCCACCTCATCAAGGGCTCAGGTTAACTGGGGGTGATTGATTTTCCATAGCTCTGAGAAAGCCTACAAATCCTTTGGATAAACATGAGTTCCACAGTGAAAACAGTTTTCCCTTCCTCCGTTGAGGGCAGCAGACAGAGTAAATATTGACAAATGGACAGGTTTACTTTCTGAAGAGGCGGTGGCAGGTAAATGGTGCAGGGAGAAATGCTTGGGTTGAGTCGTTATCAGCAGAGGGAAAGGCATTCTCTGTGGTGAGGCCAGGGTTTTATGAGGCCGCGATGGCTACACTGGAAATTTGTAAGGCAGCAAAGCTGTCTGGGTCTTGAACCCCCCCTCCTCTTGCCCCACCCGTGGGATTTTGGTGTGGAAGGCCTGAGGGGGGGGCATCCATCGTGTATTTACAAAGCTCCCCAGTGGCTTTGATGTCAGCCAAGGCTGTGAGCCTCTATTAAGAGCAAAATATTTGAGCTTAGCATGACCCTTGATCCCAGCCATCTCCAAGTATTTTGTCCGGTCATGAGAGCTTGGGGACAGTGTGGACGATGCAGATATTACCTTAGCCTAAAGATTTCAAGATGCGTAACTTGGCCCTGGCCAGGTGGCTCAGTGGGTTGAAGCATCATCCTGTACACCAAAAGGTTGTGGGTTTGATTCCTGGTCAGGGCACATACCTAGGTTGCGAGTTAGATCCCTGGTTGGGGCCCAGATGGGAGGCAACCAATTGATGTTTCTCTCTCTCTCTCTCTCTCTCTCTTTCTCTCTCTCTCTCTCTCTCATTAAAAAATTAATAAACATATCATCCGGTGAGAATTTTTTTAAAAATGTGTAATTCGGACATTGCTAATGGAGAAAGCCTCATTAGGTACAAACACTGATGCCCAAGTTGACTTCCATGACCCTAATCCTGCCAGTCCCCACCCGATCCCCCTGGTCCCCTCATGAACCCGCCTTGCTTCACTGCCCTTCCTCACGGCATGCTAGGCTCCCTGCCCTGACAGCTTCTCCTTGGGCCCCTCCACCCAACTGTTCCCTCTGCCCCAGGGAACTTTCTGTATCCTGCTCTCCTGTGAGGTCTTCTCCGACCCCCACCCCTGAAGGTGCACCCCGTTATTCTCTCTCCTCACACTCTGCCGGTTTCCTTATTTATGAACATGGTTGTTTTTGTTTGTAGCCTCCCTCATCACACCGGAAGTTCTGTGAGAGCAGGGACATGGTTTATTTCCACAATTGTAGCCTCAGGGCCCAGCCAAGTTCCCAGTACGTAGTACCCGCTCAACACGGGTTTATCTGGGGACTGAATGAATCCATGCAGAGCTGCATGACCTCAACATCTGCCCTCAGAGGAGCCCTAGAGACCAGCGCCTGACGTTTTAAGAGTGGAAGCTACTTTTCTAAGAAAGACACAGGGACAGTCTGAAGAATGAGGCAGCCTTCCTTAGTAAATGGCTCTCAGCATCTCCGGCCTGTCCTTTTCCTGTTCACTCAGCTTTCTCCTACTTCACTCCGGCTCCCACTCCCCTCCCCTCATCTACACAGTGCTCTTGCTTCCTTTTGTAGGGAAAATCTCAGGCTGTTGGGAGAACCTCACTCAATGCTCTTTTCTTTTTCTCATTCCCATCAGACATGTCTTCATTTATGCCCATTTCTTCTGTACCCTACAGTCTCTCGGAGGGTAAGATGTCTGTGGTCAGGATGGGCACTGGGTCTAGACAGAGGGCTGGAGGATGCCTGGAGTCCTGGAAGGAGCTGGTAACCAAAGGGCTGGCTCCAAAATTTCCAGCTGCCTCAGTCTTCGGGATTGGCCTGCAAGAGGTTACCATGGACCATTTCTTTTCACTGAGTCCCTCCTCCACATGCGCTCACCACTAAGTCTCACAGAATAAAGATGAAATCATGTTCACATTTAAGGTCATTTAAGTCTGATTTTAGCACCTCTTCTCAACCCAACCCAATACACACACACACACACATGCACACACACACACACACACACACACACACACACACACCCCTGAATAGCAACAACAACAACAACAAAACCAAAGGGGGGAAAAGGGGAGAGTTCATGCTGTTGTTAGATTGATAAATTTTAAATATAATCCAATTTAAAGGAACACTTTATGGAAATGGCATTTAATTACCAAATCTTAGCACAGCAGCATGGGATGGCAGGGAAGACAAGAAGACAAGGAATTTGGAATGAAACCTGGTTTGTGTCCTGTCCCTGTTATTTACTAGATTTTGGTAAATCATTTAAACTTTGATTCTTAGTGGTATCATCTGAAAACTAGGAAAAACTCCTAATTTTTTGAGGGTTAGATAGTCTCTAAGAGAAAGTTTCTGGTAAGATCACAGGATAACATTAAGTAACATTTATTGAGTGCTTACTATAGCTAAATGCTTTGCCTTTATTAACTTCTTTAATCCTCACAACAGCCCTGGGGATGTTACTTTGCAGATGTGGAAACTGAGGCACAGACAGGTGGAGGACCCAGGACTGTGCACAGAGGCTGGACTATAACTGTCTCTCTGTCGGTAAAGGTTGCACTCCTTATGCTTAGTTAGTCAGGCTTCTTTTCCTGCATTGGAATAAGGGACGAGATGAAAGTAATATCACTTTAAATCCTTCAGCAAGAGACAGGCACGTGAAAGCAGAAGAGTCGGTTCTGAGATTGAAGAAGTCATGTTTTCCAAAACATTTTGTCATGAGAGAAGCAGGGAGTGTATTTCAAGGGTAGTCTGTCCTTTGTCATGTAAATGATCATTCCCCCTCTGCCAATGCAAAAACCCCCTTTGTTGAAATTTGACCTGTGAAAGGAGCTCCTACCTGTGTGGGGCAGCCCAAAGCACTTGTGTTTCCTTATCCTTTTGACACGTGATTGCTGGCGGTCTCTGGAACCCTCTGTACTCCTGGGCTACACCTGGAGGACGCCTTTCTCATCAGCAAGTGGTTAGAAGTTTAGACTTCCATGAGTCAGCATTTCCAAACATTTACAGCTCTGGATATTTCCATTCTTGCTTACTTCACTAGGTATTTGCTGCAAGTGTCTCCATCCAGCAATGACATTTTGATGTGTCCAACAGAGTTGGCTTCAGATTTGTGTTTCCTGTCTTAGCATAGTGTTTCCATTGCTCAGCGCTAACGGTGGCAGTGTGGAGGGTTTTAGCATCCAGATGACACCTCAGAGGAAGAATGTCTGCCTCCCCTTCCCGCTTCCAGTCACCAACACCTTTGACACTATCCCTCATCTGTTGTAATTCTAATGTAAGGCCTTCTCATTACAAAGGTTGGGAGTTAGTTATTTTATTCATTTCCTCATTTATCCATGAATTCATTCATCCATCTACCCATTATTCATCAACCATCTACCCAAGCATCCATAATCCATTTGTTCATTCATCCATGCATCCATCCATCCATCTGTCCCTCACCCATCGACCTACTTATCCATCTTCCATCTATCCATCCATCCATCATTCATTTACCTATTTATCCACTCAGCTCATGTCTCCCAGGGCCTCCATGTCACGTCTACCATCTTTTAGATTGTACTTGCTCATGTGTTATCTCCATGCTTCCCACACTTCACTTACCATCTGCACAAATTTTGCCACATTCACATATAACCTGTACTATTATCTGCTTAATATTTTTATTCAAATAACCTAACCTAAATTAATTTATTTAAAATAATATAAATGAATACATTAGATTCAAAATAAATGTATTTTGAAAATGTATTTCACATGAAAATGTATTTTTATATCACTGCTACATTACACATTTGATGTAAGTTGTACCTTTTCATAATTAAAATACTTATCTACAATGTATACCCATGCATTACCTAAAACCATCCAAGTTACCACATTGAGGAACTGAGTTATTTCATGTTTCTCCTATAAAGTTTGAAATTATTATGATCCCCATTTCCAGATGCAAATCCTCAAATGCAGTGATTCTTCGAAAGAGAAGCTGTTGGTAAGAGTTGGAAGATTGAAACCCAGGTCTCTTGGCTCACAGTCCAGCAATCCATGAGTGGAGACACATTCGAAGACTGTAAAGTTCATTGTTTTGGTTGCCACCAACATTTTTAAAAATATTAAATAGAATATAATAAAGTATAGACTATCTTAGAGTGTTATCATACTTAGTAAGGTTAAGTAAGGTTTTGTGATCATGATATCTAATGTATCTTACTGTGGGGGTTATGGTTTAACACAATTGAAAGCTACTTCTCTGCTTGGCCATCCTATTTGAAAACCGGCCTGCCTTGTTGGCACTGCTGACTGGCAAGGACAGTGGCACTGCAAAATTCCAGAGACTGCCATTTATATCATCTTCAACTGCCTGCTTTTACGAAGAAAATTTTATTGGAACACAGTCATACCCATCCATTTATGTATTGTCTATGGCTGCTCTCATGCCATACATGGTGTCCTGTATTTTATCTGAACCCCTGAACTATAATGGCCAAGTCGAATAGTTGCGACAGAAACCATATGGCTCACAAAGAGCCAAAAGATACTTATTACTTGGCCCTTTGCAGAAAAGTGCCTATCCCTAATCTGTACGAATGGTACCCTTTGGCATTGTGCAGTGCCCAGACTATGCAGTACTACCTGGTGGCACTGTGGTTGTCCTGTGGCCTCTTGGAAGTTGTGCTTTCTTTCAAGTGCTTATTCTTCCATTGCCTGGCAGTGTTTGCTTCTCTTCATGGCTCTGAACCAAGGCTGTGTAAACAGAGAGAGCTGAGTTTTCCCTCCTAGGAGCTTTCCTGCTAATCTCTCCCAGTACAGCCCTTTATCCCCGCTCCTGGCTGCCCCATCACCACCACCACTCTTCCTAAGCCTCTGGCCCCCTAGGACATATGAACAGAGGCCTTTGGACCCTTTCTGCAATAAACCCTGAGTGACACCCTTAAACTGGGGGATGGGGTTTGAGAATAATGTGAAAAACTGCTAAATTCTCCCAGTGCAAGGGGCCCAGCCCAGTTTTGGACAATGAATTATGGTCTCGGCCAAGATGTTCTCATTACAATCTCTGTTGACCTCCTTGGAGGAGTAAAAACTGTTGCCTGAAAACTAGGCAGCTTCTCAGCCTCCTCCTCCTCCAGGGCCCTGCCTTGCTCCATGGTGGTCTTAATCTGCACATCCCTTCTGTCCCTCTGTCCATCTGAGCCACTGCCTTATCCCAACTCTGGGAACATGAGCCTGGTCTGAGGCCTACACATGTGCAAGAACTAGAATGACAGAAGTGATAGCTCAGCTCTTTGCCATTTTATTTATAAAATATTTTTTTATTGATTTTTAGAAAGAGGAAGGGAGAGGGGGAGAGAGACACATCAATGTGAAAGCAAAACATCAATTGGCTGCCTCCTGTATGGCCCCTACTGAGAATTGAGCCCACAACCCAGACATGTGCCCTGACTGGGAATCAAACTGGCAACCCTTTGGTGCACAGGACGACACCCAATCAACTGAGCCACACCAAGCAGGGAATTCCTTGCCATTTAAATCTCCTTATTATTATTTTTCTATATATTATTAAGTTAAGATCATGCCTGAAATGATGCATTTGACTCAGGTGCCCACCAGCAGCTAGAATGGTCACGAAGAAAGTCAGAGTGGGCTTGGTGCCTGGACACTGTTTTTTTGAGGAATATTTGAGTGATTTGGGGTTTATGGAATATTTATGTTGGATGGAATATCTATTTATCATCATATATAGGTCCTTTACATTATATTTGAGACAAAGATTTTTTAAAAAAAAAAAGACCACTCAAAGTCTTAGTGAAAAAAAGTGGCTACATGGTGAACTTGGATGGGATGGTAGTTAGTCTTTCCATGTCTCCATGGCTAATAAGCTTTCTTTGTTTTCCTTTTCTAGCTTTATCATTGTTATCTTTGACACCATAGCCACCCTCAACATGATACGCCCTTCATAACTAACATTTATAGGGCAATCACTGTGGACCAGCCACTGGGGTAAGCACTTTACATATATTACCTTATTTAAACAGCACAACAACCTTATGAAGTGGAAACTGAGGCATTGAAAAGTTGAGTCACATAGCTAGAAATAGCAGGTTACAAATCTGTTTGATGTTTTGCCTTTGTGTGTGTGTGTGTCTACCGCTGGTCCTCTTGGGCTTAGAATATATCTGGCACATAGTAGGTGCTCAGTAATTATCTGTGGAGTGAATGAATGTATGACACCTAAGTTGGTGCTCTTGACCATTTTGCTGGTGCTCTTGACCATTTGGCTCACCATTAGAATTGTTTTTAGAGTTTTTCAGAATGCAAATGCTGCCGGCCCCCATGGAGATTCTGAGTTGAGGCCCAGGAATCTGATTTTTAATACACTTCCCAGATTCTGATGCAGCCAGCTCAGCCTGGGGCTGTAGACAAATTTGGCATCCACTACCACCACACTATACCACCTCATGAAAAAAAATTTCAGTGTTTTTAATACTTCTGCAGAATAAATAAAACCACAATTTGTGTTTCTCAATTTGTGTGGTTGAACTCATGTCCTTTTGACAGACCTTTCACATTTCAGAATGCTACAAATTGCTTTCTTTCTGAAATATTAGAGCATAACATCGGATCTTGGGAGGCAACTGGCCCTTCCCGGTGTTGCACCCAAAAGTCACATATGTTTCTTGTTCTCAGTCCAATTATCTTTCCACTAAAGAAATCAGCTTCCCTTGTTCATTCTAGAGGCGAAAGGACACAGAGAGTAATTCAAGTGCCTTTGATATGAGGAAGGGGACCTAGAATTGTTCTAGTTACCCCTAAGATAAACCTAAGATTGAGGCAGTCTTAAGTCTTATTTTGCCAGGAAAGTTCCAGTTTACCCCTATTGTCCTGGTGTAATTATTAACAGTGCCCCTATTTGGTCTCAAACATGAACCTGGGTTTGTACAATAAATAATATGGCCATCCTACCTAAGACTAGAAAGAAAAAAAACTATAAGAAAATAAATTTCTGTTCATTACAAGAAAGGAATCTCCATAAGACATAAAAAAATCCCCCAAGCCCCCCCCCCTAAATATGCAATCAGGCTGCCAAGTTAATGAATTTCCTGTTACTGGAGGTGTTAAAAAAGAAGAGACCTGGCTATTTGTGGAAGACGATGGAAAGAAAGTCAGGCGTCAGTGGATGACCTTAGAGATCCCTTCTGACTCAATGTCCCAAATTCCCAGGGGACAGCAGAATCTGTGGTGCCTGAGCTGTGGCAGGCGCATGTGTCATGCCCACACCCACATGGAAAGAAGTCAGGAACAGCGGGGCCTGTCCCTCTCACTCTTGAGTGGAAGGCCATCCCATGGTCAGCAAGCACAAGATGTTTTCCTAATACTGTAGACTTGGAGAAGGCTCAAGGTATTTAGGATTTGGCTCTTAACATCACACCCAAAGTCCTCTGCTGAGCAGGCTGTGCAAATCCTCAGGGTGTGAGTGCACTAGGATGGCCTTCCTTTCCTGGGAACCAGAGCCACATCTGCTCGCATCTGTCCTTGTGAAAAGTGCGTATAGTTTAGGCCATCCTCTGCTCCCCAACCCTCCTGCCCCCAGGTCACTGGGCAAATGTCCATTTGACCTTTGGTGGAGTTTGACCCCCTGTTCACACTGAGTATCTCAGAGCTGTGCAAAGTGTTAGGGAGTTTTCCAACATTCTTCAAGGGAGTTATCACTTTCAGCCCTGCCCTACTTCCTATTCCCTTACATAGTTAGAAACTAAGACAGCGGCCTTTGTGAATTTCCCCAAGATCACACAGTGCATGGGCGGCAGGACCAGGGATCCAAACTCGAGATATCCCAGGAGAAAGCTGACTGCAGTGTCACACATCTTTCCAAGGGGATCCAGAGGGTGGGAGCAAACTGTGCAAATGCCCAGACTGGGACACTTTTGTTGTTGTTGAAAGTCACAGTTTATCCTGCTGTAATCAGATTAAGAGGAAAACGAAGAACCCACTGGTAGCAGGAAGAAGCAGGAGTCCTCTAGGATTTGGCATTTGATGAGATAGATATTCCGTCACTGTGCATTTCCATTGTTTTTTCATAGCAGAACATACCGCAGGGATTTAAGAACACCCATGCCTGATGCCAGGTTACCTGATGTTCTATAACTGCATTGCTAGAAGGGTTGTTATTGCCACAGGAGTTGGCTGTGCCCCAGAAAAATGGGGTGCTGGTCTGTTCCTGCACATCTTTATCCTGATCTTCACCTCAAGAAGGGCACTGCCATGTTTCTAGTCCAAGGTTCTTGGTTTGGTGGACAACATCCTGCTTAATACAACTTTGTCCTTACAGCTGTTGTTACAGAGATATGATGACTGATTTTGGCCAAGGAGCTAGCATTAAAGGGACAAGTAGTCAATTTGTGATATCAGGATGATTTATAAGTTTCCTCCATGTTGGAAATAAAGGGGGCGAATCCAACTGTTCAGTGGAGACACACTCTCCCCACAGTCACCTTACCTCCACATCAGCACCCCAGCAACCCTCACTTCTCGCCCCTGACTGCGGCTTGGGGGCCACTTTTTGTGATGGGAATATACAAGAATGTCTGTATGTCTTAGAAATCAATAAGAAAAGATCAGGAACCCCTAATTTAAAATAAATGGGCAGAAGACACAAATGGGAAACTGAAGAGAAAGCCTAAAAGGTGACGAGGGCCTCCAAGACATGACCTCTAGTTGCTTCTTTATCCTTATCTTCTCGATGCTTGCTGTGTTTTCTAGTAACATGAAACTGCTTGTAGTTTTCTGCACATATCACATCCTGTTTGCACCTCTGTGCCTAAGCTCATGCAATTCTAGAATGATCATCTTCTTTTTTAGAATAACGTTCTCAATTAAAAAGAAAAAATGAGTCTGGCTAATTCTTAGCTAGCCTTGAGGATCTAGCTCTGGTATCTTCTCCTCCAAAGGCTTTTTTGAGCCAATCAGGGGCCACTGCTGGGCTTGAGGGGGGTGAGGGTGGTACAGCCAGTTTGGTGTGGGTAAGATGAATACCCCCCAAAAATGCATTTAAAATATTATCAAGAAGAAGGGAAGCCTGGATCTTTAATAGCCAAAACAGCAAATAGCCAATACTCTTGGTTTACAGATGGCTACACTCCTCTGGTTTCTTCCCAAATCCTTATGTGCATTTCTGTAGTCATGAAGACTGTTTTATATTATAAATATTCATTTCTCTATCTTTCTCCCCTTTAGAGAATGAGTGCCTTGAGGGTAGGGCCCATGCACCCTCAGCCCCTAACACAGATACTGACATTCGGTAAAAGCACATCAAATGCATCAATCAACATAATTGACCGAGGAATGCTTCCTTCTCACTTAATGGAAAAATCGATTTCCATAGCAGCGGGAATAGAATCCCTGCTAGAGGCCAGAAGTCCATCTGTCTCTATAAATTCCAATTCCGATGCCCAGGATTTCCATCCAACAGATGCTTTTTGCATTGTGCAACACCAAGGCATGTGGGCTGCCTGAATTCACGTGTTTGCTCCATCCTTCATCACCCCATTTCCTGGGAAGAAGCAAGAGCCTTGGGGGACCTGTGCGAGCTGCACATGTTTTCCGTTTCATGTTTCAGCCAATAGATGAGAGGGCTCTCTCACGGGCCACTTAACCTGTATCACAGACGTTTCCTTGGACAAATGGTCTCTTCGTCTTCCTCTGGGAACCCAACGCCTGAATGATCTGCAGACCTAATAGGGACGTAGAGATGGGCTTAGCATGTCCAGTGGCTGAAACATAGAGCATCTTTGATTTAACGGTGTGACTTGAAGGTGAGCGGCCTGGTCTCGCATCTATCACATTCTCACAGCACAGGTGGATAAGGCTGGACATCTGGAGGAGCTAACATCTGGATGACCGCACCCATGGAATGACGCCGGTATCAGCTGGGGCTGGGGCTTTGGCTCCCTTCTCTCCTTCCTTCTCCTTTCATTGGACTTTAAGCATTGCAGCTGTCTCTGAAAATGAGCAAGGGGCAGATTTAGCAGGGGTGGAAGGGAGCGTTGTCTCTGAGCCTTGTTTCAGCTTCCAGACCCATCATTCCCAGCCAAAGTAATATGACATTAAAACTCAGGCCTGGCTGCCCGCTGCAACAAGCAGAAATATAAGACCATAATACATAAAACACAACCTCTTCCAGAAATAAAAATCTGTGCAAAGCCACAGAGCTCAGAAATAGCATTTGGTTCTTCTGCGAAATTACCACTTTTTCTCTCCTGCCAGACCAAGCCCTGGAGAGAACTGATGGTATTCTCACTACTGTCCCTCCAAATGAAAAAAAAAATAGGGATCAGTAAAATAAGGAAAGTGAGACCGATGTTCTAAAAATGGAAACTACAAAATTTGAAAATTTGGTGGGGGGGGATGCTCTGTTTAGAAGGGAAGAACTCAGAGGGAGAACAGTGTCCAAATGATATGGCACCAGGCTCGCCTGGCAATATGGCTTATCTCAAGAGGCGCTTGCTTCCAGACCTCAAAACTGGCCCCATTTTGCTCCAGAAATTCTTCCCTGCATTCTAAAATAGAACTTGTAAAGAGAAGTTGGAAGTAACTTTTATGTGGTTGTTTTCTAAAAGTCTCATCTCCAACAGATAAATCCCAAACACTTTGCTCAAAGCAACAAAAGGTTCAAACGATATTGGATGTTTATGCGAACCTTCCAAGCCCCCTGTGTTTATAAAAGTGAGTTGGAAATATTTGAGAACAGTTTGTCTAGTGGAATTTCAACATTTCCATTTTTGCTTAACTTGGGAACCAAAGGTCACTTTAGAGATGTTACAGCATCAATAAGACCACATCATGTTGAAGCTCACGTCTTATTAGATAAAACTATTTTGGAGAGAAAGATTGGGTTTTTAGTGGTTATAAAACTTGAGGTGAAGCTGGGTTTCAGAAATGAACATATTGTTCAATCAGATTATATATTTAGGGTTTGACGAAATAATATGTAAGTCACTTAGCACAGCATCTAGCAAATAACAGGAATTCAATAGCTACTACTTTTAATAATACAATCATTACTTCATAGATTGAAAATACATGTGGTCCCTGGGCATTCTCATTTAACTGATGAAGATGAACTTTTCTGTTTTGTAGCATCTTTAGTCTCTCGTTCATCAAATATTTCAGCCATCCATCAGGTTGCCCAAATTGGTAATAATGATAATAATAATTCCAATTCTTCTTCTTATTATTATTATTATAGGTGGGAAGGTGGATATTATGAGAGAAAGAAAGTAAAATCAGGCGTGGTAATTCATAAAATAATTAAAATATGTGGAAAAAATTAATCCTATCTAGTAATCAATGAAATGCCAATTAAAACACAAAATGCTTTTTACTTACCAATATTTTGAAATCCAAAACTGTCATTTTAAATGTTCTTAAACCCTACTAGGAGGAGTATGATTTGGCATCACTGATTTTTGAAAGCAATGTGGCAATATATAAATTAAGTGCCATAGACATGTTTCTATCTGCTTACCCACTTTCAAGAATGTATCTGGAATCTCTAGGAGGAAGTGGACTGTGGTAAAAAATGTAGGTACAAAATGTCCACTGCCATGTGTATCTGTCAGGATCTCATCAGGAAACAGCATACTCAAACTGAGTCACTGGAGGACAGTTTAATTAAAAGCAACAACAAAACAACCACTTACAAAGTGTGGGCAGAGCACCAGGGATGGTGCAGGACTGTGGGGCCAGCCCCTTGTCCTTGATCAAGGCCTAAAGGGCAGGGAATAAGCAGTTTGCGGAACCTAGAGAGAGAAGCTGTCTGGGGAGGGCCTCCATGTGGCCCACGTGGCGTAGATGGCCCACCCTTCCGTTCCTCCCAGCTTCTGGTCTTCTGCCGGCACCTCCCATTCTGAGTCCAAGCAGAGCCAGAGGCAAGCGGGCCCTTTGACAGAGTCCATATGGGCTCCGGGTGAACAGTGGCTCGGCAGAGACAAATGAAAAATATCCAGCACACTTTGTTATTTTTAAGAGCAAGAATAAAAATGGAAGATAATGGAAGGGTCCAACAACTCATTGGGAAATGAGTCAACCAAGCGTGGGATTGGAGTGGGGTGTTATACAGTCATTGGAAATAAATACTTTTCACCCAGCCAGTGTGGCTCAGTGGTTGAGTGTCATCCCATCCACCAAGAGGTTGCCAGTTCGATTCCAGTCAGGGCGCATGCCTGGGTTGTGGGCTCCAACCCCAGGAGGGGGCATGCAGGAGGCAGCTGATTGATGTTTCTCTTGCATTGATGCTTCTATCTCTCCCTCTCCCTTTCTCTCTCTCTCTCAAATCAATTTTGAAAAAAAAATTTCTTTTTAAAGAAAATAATGCTTTTGAAGAAACAATAACATAGGAAAATGTTTTCAATATAAAGTCAACCGAAGAAAAGCACAGGGTAGAAAATTATATATGATTCCAATTATGAAAAAAAGGACGCATGACCCATTGAAAAAAGACTAGAGGGAACATGCCCAAACTTAAATTATGGCTATTTCTGATTTGGAGAATTAGAGATTTTCTTCTTCTTTTTCTAGTATCTGCATTTTCCAAATTTTACATTACTTCTAATAAGAAATACATTACTTAAAAGAACTTGTCTTCTGTCTGCTATAGTTTATAATCTAGTTAGAGAGAGAGATTGATTTCTAACTAATTACAGCAAATGCAATGGAAGAATAAAGGAACAATATTGATTACACCAGCAGGCAGAATCAGGGAAACTTCCTGGAGTAGGTGGCATTTAAACTGGGCCATGAGAGCTGAGAAATATTGAGAAATGACAGAGGAACAAAGGTGAGAAGACAATGAGAACCAAAGATTAAGAGCTCGGGATGGTGTGACATACCCAGGGCACTACAGTGGATGGATGATTCTAGAGCTGTACATTAGCAAACATCAGAGGGACTTTTACAACATACAGATTTCTGTGTCCCTCTCCAATCTACTGAATTGGCATCTCTACTGGGAAGCCTGAAACAAATATTTTGAAAATGCTTCTAGGTGATTCTAAGGCATGGACAGGGTTTAGATGCACAGACAGGCAAAGCCTGTGAGAGAGTGTGGCAGGCCCATGGGTAGTGGCTGCTGAGAAACCTCTAGCTGTCTCCCTCCCCTGAGGGGAAAGGGCCCAGCAGCCACCTTAGAAGATGTGACCCTGCCCATGACTGCAGATGACTGGGCTGGGGTGGGCCTGAATCCTTGGTGCGAAGGTAGAGATGTGGGCAACTTCCACCTGCCCTGTGACCTGGAGTAGCCAAGGGCGAGCAAGCAGAGACAGAAGGAATGAAGCTGATGTAAGGAGAAGAGAAGGGATGGGAAACTGAGATGGTCCTGTGACCTCCCTGTTCCTGGTTCCAGTACTTTCTGAGCTTCCACTGGATCTATGGCCTTGAGTTTGCTGAGACCTCCTTTGTCCTTATAATAGAGCTCAGTTTTTAAATATGGGCCTGGCTAGAACTGGCCTCAGTTATCTACAGAGAGAGGCAGGGCAAGCTTTACCTTCAGACACAGCAACATTGCACATTGCAAAGTCCCAACTGGAGTCTAGGGGATGCGGCTCAGTTACCACCTAACCAGCTAGTCTTCCAAACTGTTTGTCTCGGCACAATAGGTTCTGTGGAATTAATGGGTGCTACAGCACCCTAACACATACATAAATGAGCTATCCTTGGCCAAGTAAGTTGGGGCATCTCAGCATTAACAGTTACACTGGTTTCTCATGAAACTTACACCATGTTGTATGTCAATTATATCTCAATAAAGCTGGCAAAAAGAAACTTCCAGGCTTAAATGATAAGTACATCATCGAAAAAACCCTGTTTGTTTGTTTTTACTAGGAAAATTCTCAGGACTTTTATATTCTCTTGTGCATTGTGAATTTCCTACAGCGATTATAAGACTCAGTGTTCCCCAAATTTATTTGACTGGGGTACCCTTCTGCTGTTTTTCCACGCAAAAAAGCATGATTTAGAGTTGGTGCTTGGCCCATGAGAGCTAACTCATTCATTCGCCTATTTCTTCATTCAGTTAACATTTATGAGAGTAGCAAAAATAAGCACTATTTTTCAAAATGGCATGTTGTTTTATGAAGCGGATACACTAGCCTTCTGGGAATTGCGTGTGTGTATATGTGTATTTGTAGCCTTGCATGTGTATGCATATGTGCCCATGTATTGTCATGTATACATATGTGTGCTCATGTGTATACACCTGGGGGGGGTGTAATAAAGAGAAGGGGATCAAGACAAAAAGAGAGATAGGTCCTAGGTTTTGATGCTCACGGATATGTCTCCCAGATGCT